CACTTATCGGGCTCCATCTATCCCAAGTGCGGTGTGTGGATCTCGTCCACCCGTTTCGGTCTCCCTTCTTTGCTTCGCAGGCTACTTTTGTACTGAGAAAATGCAATTTTCGAGCTACAGCTCCCGGTCTGCACTTGCTTTTCAACGGGTCCCTTTCTAGGTCCCCCAGTAGTGCCCTTTTACCGTTTCTTTTCTGGGGAAATTTCCCCTAGTAAAATAGACTACAGGAAACTCAATTCTGGACCTAGATGTGCTTATTTAGGGCTTCTTTGGGCTCCCTCCCCCTCCCCAGCCCCCCCCACCTCACCTCACCCCCGACCCCCCCACCCCCCACCCCCCCTCCCCCCCAGCCCCCCGATTTTTGTGTCCCCTAAAAAATGGGGCGCGATTTCTCCAGGTGGACGTGCCCGGTGTGCAGCAACGTGCTGAAGCCGCACGACCTGGTGGCCGGGAGCCCCCGGAGCGCAGCAAGCGGAGCCCAGACTGCTTTAAGGGTTGTGGTTGGGACATATTTTAAACATCATTGGGGTTTAGTGGTTGAAATCCAACCACTTAACGGCTAAACTTTGAATTTTTGCTCCCCTTCCAACGTCAGCCAAGCCTTTTTCATGACTGCTATTGGGTTGGATTTTTAGACTTTAGCCTTTTTGGTTGAAATCTTAGGGGGGTTCAGCACTAAACCCCCAAACGGTGTTCAACTTTTTGCAGGGGGGTCAACAGCAAACCCGGATTAATAAACCCTTGTGTATGAATATGGGGCTGTTCCCCTCCAAAAGTGATGAATCCCCACTGAAACTAGCGACACCCCCATATTAATCAACAGTCTAGGGATACCATCCCCATTCTTTCCAGGGATCCTTCTTTCTAGAAAACCTCCGGGTTTACCCCGGGAAAACGGATCCTTGTGAAAAGAAGGATGGTTGAAAATGGACCAGGAATCCACCCCTAGAACCAGGGCTTTGTGACTCCTGTCCCTTTCATCTCATCAAGTCCCGTTTCGGACTTGAGTCACGGCTCCAACGTGTTCGATTTGGGCCATGCACACAGGAAGTGTGGACTTTTGAGTTGGTAATCTTGGGGTGGTTTGAAAGAGCACACCGCCAAGAGAAAGGGGCCCGATTTTTTTATTGTTTTTTTCTTAAATGTTGACGCCTGTTCGCATAGTTTATTGTTAAACACATCACTCCAACAGGAAGCTGACTGGGGCGACCAACAGATAACGTCTCAAACCATCAAAAGGCGACAGATAATCGAGAACCCTGTTTGTTAGTCAAAGAGGACTTCTGGCAAGGCTTATTATCAGTGTTCCCAACCATTTGGTCGTTGAATTTTGATTGTCTTGGAGTCCCTCCGTTTCCCTTCAGGTGTGTGTGTGTGTGTTTTTCAGGCCCCTGCTGGGCTTGGTTTTTAAAAGGGGCCCAAAACGAAACCACACAATCTGGGTTGATGACTTTTGGACACGTACCCTAAGAAATCATGGCCATATGAGCCACAATCAGCGAAGGTTGGTAAGGGACGGTCCCAACCACAAATAGGTGCGACCACTTTGGTAACTGTTTGCATGGTTTTGGGTTCACCATTTTGGTACCAGGTTTTGATTGTGACTAATCCGGGAGTGCAGCGAGTGGGACATTCAAAATATGGTCAAGGCGCAAGTCGCCTGCATTTCGGGCCTTGCGGGAAAACTGAGTGAGAAGCTTGTCACAGCGGTTGATGCCAGGTTACATATTCAGGTTGAAATCTGCTTGCATTAGACTCCCACCACCAATTCCAAAGATTGAGCGCATCTCAGAAATTGTGACTCCCTATAGCTCTTTTTTACATGTTTGGGGGGGGACGCACAAATTTTGATAGGGTGCCTAGGGGGAGGGGTCAGGGGTGGTCGTGATTTAGATCAGTTTGACCCCTTTTTCCCGTTTTCCCCTCCCCCTTAACGCCCTATCAAAATGTTGGCCTCACCCGTTTTGCGGCTACATCTCTGCGGCGCTCCTAACGCGCCTCTTGCCGGGCCATGGCTCCCAGGTAAGGAGAACGAGGCTCGCCTTTCGCATGCCACTTTGAGCGGGTGGGGGGCGTCACCTCAGCTTCAAAACATGAAACCAATCCAAAACCCCCAAGAAGACACGGAAAAAAAAGGAGCGAACAAAAACTCCAAAAAGCGGGAGGCGGCTGCTTTTGGGGGAGGTGTTTCACTTCAGCGCGGGCTTTTTTTGGTGCAAGAAGCGAAAGCCCGGCCGGGGGCCTTGGGGCCTGACTGTGAAGCGGATGGGCGCCAGCGCCAGCACCGACGTGCCGGGCCAGCAGGCGTGTGGCGCGAAATTGGCCAGGAATTTCGGGAAGGAACCTCCTAAGTGGTGGACAAAAAAACTACCACTTAAAGGGTGTCCCTAAGCGGTTGGTGGACAGAAAAAACACCACTCAAATGGTGTCCACAAGATCCCTGATTCAAAGACAAAACACACACACACACACATCCAAATGAAAGGGCCAGCTGTACGGGTGTGTGTCTTTTGTTAAATATATATATATATATATATATATATATATATGCTACCCCCCCCCTCAACGACTCTGTTTTTTTGGTGCAGTGAGTGCTTGACTGACAGATGGTAGCAGATGATTTGCTTGTGTTTGATTGACAGGTGACAGCAGAAGATTTATGTGTGTGTTTTTTTGGTGCAGTGAGAGCTTCATTCAGTGGAACTTTACTTGGAAAGCAGGCAGTGAGACGCACTTCGCGCTTTTTTGTTTTCTGCTGCAGAAAACTCTCCCTATTTCTGTACAAAAGGAGCCATTGCATCCTTCACCAGATCTCCAGTTTTGATCCAGAGATCTTGGCCCCGCATCCAGTACTCATACTGGGTTGCTTTGGACCCAGCTCGAACCCTTTGGTTCAATTTTAACCGGTCCTTAATAAACCGCCAAGCCCTGTCCACGTGTTGGGTGCCTGCTTTTACCTTCAGCTGGGTTCCATCCCGGAGCCTGTGAGTCACCACTCGCACGTATTGCGGGGAGCTCCATTTCTTTTTCCCATTCTTGAGTGTGATCAGCTTCTTGCAGTGGACAACTGAGTCATGGTGCACGCCATCCACCTTGGCCTTGTAGGACTTTGCCGAGTCCGTATGCAGGATGACATGGCGGCCCTGCAAGTGCTTCTTGGCTAACGGGGCCCAGTCAATTTTGCGGATTGCCCCCGAGCACCGTCAAGGCTGGGCTAAGGCGTGACATGATGAGTGTACATGGCTTGCCGCGGGCCATCATGCCACTCCATTGCTCCCACAGGATGGGCTTGCCTGCCTTGACCGCCTCCTTGTACGCGACGTCCTTGGTCATATCTGCTTTGTCAAAGGCGCACTCATCAGCTTCCACATCCTGCCACTGCTTCTTGCCACCAAAGGAGATCTTCTTCTCCTCCTGCTCGACAAAGAGCTGCCTGGTATGCGCTAGGCTGGATCTCATTTTTTCAATGAGCTTGTGATTCACACCCAAGGCCAACCTGATCTGGGTGTGGGAAGCACCAATGAGGATCATGAAGAGAACTGCCGCCTGCATCTGCAAAGGAGTAGAGCCAGGGCCACGGCCAGTAGTGAAGAAGGGATGCAAGTGCAGCGGGCTGACAATACGTTTGCAATGATAGTTGTTGCATTGGTACTTTGCACTGCCGCAATGCATCTTGGATGCAAGAGTGCCTTTCCAGCATTGGGGGCAACGCTTACCGTGCCATTTTGGAAGGATGCCGTCCTTTTCCAAAATCTTGGTAATCCCACTGTTGCTAGCACCCAGGATCTCAGCGAGGTTGCGCTTCCACTTAGCTCGATCCATGCGAACACCAGCTGCTGGTACATCTCGGTGACCTCGCACGTACTTCACTTTGTTATACTCCTTGCTCTTCTTCGTGGCTGGCCTCTTGTGGACACGACGGAGCTTCCCCCGCTTGCTCACAACCCCGGGGTTGAGTCGAGCTGCCATGTCACAATCGCAGTAACTACGAGCCCTAGGTGATTCAATGGCAACACAGTGCAAGGCAAGTCGGAAATCAATCAAGGTTGCACTTGCAATTGCAGTCTTGCAGCGAGCTTATTTTTTCCGCGGGCACACAGCTTTCATCTTTGAATTTGAATTTTATGGCAGTAGTAACCACTACTCACCAAGCAAGAGTATAGATTCTCGCAGCATAGCCCAACACTCAGAACTCAAGCAGGTTCACGCTCTAGTCGTGGAGAAAGTGGCTTGCATCCTCGTCTGCAGCAGTGTCCTCCATGTCGGCTGTTTCTGCTGCAGCCAGAAGCTCTTCAGGCTCTGCACATTGGTCGGCATTTTGCGGTTGTGGATCACCAGAGGCAACAGATGAGGCTGCTCCTCCCCCGCAAGAGATGAGCAAGCTCGTTTTGTGCCGGAGGCGCTTGTCCGGCTTGGAGTCTGGGTAGATGAAGTCGCCCTCTCGCAAGCGCTTTGGCGCGTTGCAGCCGATGTTGAGAGGCACCGGCGGCAGGAGAGGCGGGTCCTCTGAAGACTGAGAAGTTGGCACAAAGGAGCTCTCTGGGATGCGTGCCACCTGCTTGAGAGCTTCTTTGAGATCTTTGTTGCATCTCTCCACATAGTCTTGTGCTCGGCCTGCCTGCTGTAGCTTCATCATGCCTTCATCGATGATCTTCTGCTCCTTCTCCACCTCGCTCTCATAGTAGCTTCCCTTCACCATATCACCCAGCTTGTACGCAGCATACACAGGCTTGTCCTTGGTGGCAAGGAGATCTTTGTGAACATCGTCTGCCACAATGCGATGGACAAGGGCACCATAGTTGGGGGACGGGAAGCGCAAGTAGAGACCATTCTGCCCGAAGACCATGACAATTGTCCGCTTAAGCACTGCCAGCACGTCTGCTTGCTTGGACTCTGGAAATGTTTTGCGGAGCAACTTGAAGAACTCGTCGGGCTCGATGTCACTGCGGTAGGTGTCCTCAGGCTCATCCCCCTCACCGATGTCGTTGGAAGCATATGCCCTCATGCCATTTCTGACCAGCCTGACATCATTGTACCTGCCTGAGCAAGTCTGGTCTTCATCCGCAGTAAGGAACGATTTCATGTCGGCTAGATCGATCTTGTCCCTGGAAGGATCATCGAGAAAGACGGCCTCTTGTACCTGGGGGACTCGATGCCTGAAGTTGTCGAGAGATTTGGCTCGACGCCAGCCCGGCGAGGCTGTCAAAGAGAGACGCCGGACGTGGTAACGTCCAATTGCCATGGCAAGGGTGATCAAACAGGGTGTCTTGCCGACGCCTGGTAAGCCCACCATCATGATGCCATAAGTCAGCAACATCGGCATAACCATTGGCAAAAGAACATCAGACATGAAGGGCTTCAAGCTGAACATGGTGAGGGGAAAGTCAGTCTCAGGCTGCGCTCCGGCCAGGCCACGGCTTTTGTTTTGAGCCATGAATCTGACCTTTGCTTCTGGCCACCCAGAAACTGGTGTGCCAGAGCCCTCCTTGATGGAACATAGGATCCAATAGGTCTGTTCATTCTGCGAGTCACATTCTGGTGCATTGGCATTGATGAACAAGATGCCCTCCTTAAGCGCCTCGTCATCAGGTGCCCACTGAGAAGACTGAGCCCTTTGGAGAGGAGCCTTTTTTGTCAGGCTCGCCCACATCACGCGAAAGCCGGGAAGACGATCCAGCTTTGCGATGCGCCCATGGCCCAGGGCGTGACACAGGCACGAAGCCCTCTCCTGTGATCAGGCGCTGGGCGGCAGCAGCAGTGATCTTGTTGGCGAAGTGCAGAATTTTGATCAGAGACATTGTTCCATCATGGTGGTTTTCGATGATGACGCCCATGGTTGCCTTGGGAGGAAGAGGCCCTTGAAGACGTAGTGGAAAGGGTACATCTGCAATGTTGCCTTGTGACAGAAGCTCCCCAATCTGAGCAAGACCGCTAAATTCTGGCACATTCTTGTGGACATTGAAGGCTATGGAGGTCACTTTCGCTTCGTTCAAGTTGCGACATGAGTTGTCCAAGAAGTCTGACAAGAGGATGGGTTCTGAAATTTCCCACGAGAGTGCCAAGCCATTTTGGGGGTGGTGTGGGTCTCATACACCCACTCTTTGCCGGAGTGTAGGGCCATGGCATCGTCTAACATGCTGGACATGGAATAAGATGGTGTGCCTTAGGGGCAACTACTTGGGAACTCTAAGCTGGAAAGCAACAGGTTCACATATCAAACTCAGGAATGTCATGCATTCGTGCAAGCCATGATGTCCTGCTGCAAGCTACCGCATCAAAAGGCAACCAAAAGCAGACATCTTTTTTGTCACCTCTCACAGGAGCAGATCCGGACAAGAGTATGTGCGCATGTATAGTACCGTCTGCCAATGATGGCTATGTTACTTACAGAAGATTCTGAATACAGCTTGACAGCTATACAGGCTTCTACTTCCTGGCCCTCTTTGAGGCACGCTCCTCAGCCAAATGTGCCCTAAGCTCTTCAAGTTCGCACTCATATTGTTGAATGTCACCCTCCAAGATCTCAATGCGAGCGTGAGCCTCTTGCAACTCAAGCTCCTTGAGCTCGAGTTGCGCGGAGACACTCTCATTGTGAGCTCGTGTGGGCGTAGATGAATCTGAAGACGACGAGCTTGAAGAGGAGGAGTCGTCGCCTGAGTCCTCAGAGTGACCTTGATTATTCTCAGGCATGTCTTGGTCTTGGTGGGGTGGCTCTTGACTGGAGAGGCCCGCATCCTTTTCGGAGATCACCTGCTGGTCCTCAGACACGTCCTCATCCTTTTCGGAGATCCCATGGTGGTCCTCGGAAACACCCTCATCCTTTTTGGAAACACCCTGCTGGTCCTCAGACACGTCCTCATACTTTTCGGAGATCCCACGGTTGTCCTCGGAAACACCCTCATCCTTTTTGGAGACACCCTGCTGGTCCTCAAACACACCCTCATCCTTTTCGGAGATCCCATGGTGGTCCTCGGACATGCCCTCATCCTTTTCGGAGGTTTTTTGGTGGTCCTCGGCCAACTGCTGCTCTTGCTGGACTGGGGCGTCTTGGATTGGCAGCGGGTCCTGGGTGTTTGCGTCCAGGATGGCCAGCTGGTCACGACGCTTGCGTCGTCCCCGAACATGGCCCTTAGGTGCTGCAGGTCACGTAGAAGCTTCTCGTGACACTCCTCTGTCCACCTGCCCATGTGGCCCAAGGGCTCGATGTTCAGAGTTTTCTGTGTGTTGTACATCATGGAACGCAAGGCGCGTTGATCCAATTAAAGCCGGCTGTCATGAATTTTGATTGCTCCGCGTTCGTGTTGTTCAAGAACTTCATCTAGAGTGACCCGAGGCTTCTCCTTGTCGACTTTGTAAGCTTGGGATGAAGCAGGGCTAGACGCTGGTTGGATTCGCAGCTCGGCTGCGCCATTGGAGAACCTGACCTTGCCAACCACGTCAAAGGAAGCCATGGCAGAAAGAAGGAGGAGACAGACAATAAGGACTTGAGCTGCCTGAGAGCTGAATATAGCAGAATTTCGACTCTCTTGGCAAGATGCAAAGGCCAAGTCTGAGCGGAGGAAGGGAATAAGGGGAATAAGGATCCTTATTCCCTTATTCCCCTCAAACCCAAGAACCCAAGAACCCAAGATGCACAGAGGACTTTTGGGAGCAATCTTGGGTTTGAAGGTAGAAACGGGAATAAGTGGAATAAGGATCCTTATTCCCCTTATTCCTCTCAAACCCAAGAACCCAAGAACCCAAGATGCACAGAGGACTTTTGGGAGCAATCTTGGGTTGGCAGCCCAAGAAAAAAGGAAGGGACATGAGGATGCTTATTCCCGTTCTTACTTTGAAACCCAAGATTGCTTCCAAAAGTCCTCTGTGCATCTTGGGTTCTTGGGTTCTTGGGTTTGAGAGGAATAAGGGGAATAAGGATCCTTATTCCACTTATTCCCGTTTCTACCTTCAAACCCAAGATTGCTTCCCAAAAGTCCTCTGTGCATCTTGGGTTCTTGGGTTCTTGGGTTTGAGGGGAATAAGGGGAATAAGGATCCTTATTCCCCTTATTCCACCCCTGGGCTGACAACCCAAGATTGCTTCCAAAAGTCCTCTGTGCATCTTGGGTTCTTGGGTTCTTGGGTTTGAGGGGAATAAGGGGAATAAGGATCCTTATTTCCCTTATTCCCCCCTGGGCTGACAACCCAAGATTGCTTCCAAGATTGCTTTCAAAGTCATGCAGCCAAAAAAATCAGAGTCAATGGGGGGGGGGTACCATATATATATATATTGTTTTGGTGGCTTTCAATGGACACCAACAGGACTCTAATTTGCGGGTCCGAATCCCAACAGATGACACACCCATTTGTCTATCAGAGCTCGAACAAAGTTGGGCGCCCGGTTCAGCTTGATGTCTCAACCAAACTCGGGCAGACGCGGCAACTAGCAACCACATGGCGTGTCCTAAGGAAGGGACACTCATCTTTGGGACTTCTGACCCCCAGATGAGCCACGGCAATCGGGGGTCCCCTGGTTCTTGTGGTGAATATTTTTACTGGCTCGCTGTGCTCCCATGCCCTTCCAAATGGACCATAGACTACTGGTAGTTTTGACTCGATCTCATATGAGCCGGGGTCCAAGCTTCTCATATGGCCTATGGTCATGGTTCCTTTGCTAGGACAAACAGTACAACGGTTCCCAAGAAGGGTCCCTCAAAATCTAGATTGCTATTGGGTTGGATCTTTAGACTTCAACTTTTTTGGAACAAAAAAACAAGGGTTTGCCATTGAACCCACAAGAAGTTAAACGTTTGACAGAAGGGTCAACAGCAACCAAGAAATAGACACCCAAACCCCAAAATAAAACCCAATCAGTAAATGCAAACAAGGACTAGCACCTGCGGTCCCCTGGTGGCTTAACTTTGACCCATTACCCTGATTGGAACACGCTGAACAATGAGTCCTCCATTTCTGATGTCCACCAAAGAGTACCCCATTGAAACTCATAGGTTTGCTTTTAACTGTGTCACGACGGTTTCCTTTTGGTTTCCCTTTGAACCCACAAACAGGTGGTTTCCCCTAAAAAAGGGCACACAACATAAAGCTGCTCCTGCCCCTTGCCAGCACACACCACCTTTCGACATGGGCTGCCACATGAGTATATAGCTCTCCATTGGTTGAATTGAAGGCTTGTCCAGCCCAAGGGTCGTCCGTTTGATGAAGGCAGTGCTCGGCCTATGTCCCAGTCCTTTGTTAATTTGCAGATCTTAATTTGTGCTGTGGTCCATACCAAGATGACTATGGCAGTCATCCCACCACCCCTCTTTTTCCCGAAAGCATGGCGAAGGGTTCTTCCGCTCCTTTCACTTGAGTTGTTCTCATGAGAGTCATTACAAGGTGTCATTGCAAGGAATCAGCATCATGAAAGTCATTGCAAGGAGTCATTGCAAGGAGTCATTGCAAGGAATCATCATCATGAAAGTCATTGCAAGGAGTCATTGCAAGGAGTCATTGCAAGGAGTCATTGCAAGGAGTCATTGCAAGGAGTCATTGCAAGGAGTCATTGCAAGGAGTCATTGCAAGCAAGGAGTCATTGCAAGGAGTCATGGCAAGGAGTCATGGCAAGGAGTCATTGCAAGGAGTCATTGCAAGGAGTCATTGCAAGGAGTCATTGCAAGGAGTCATTGCAAGGAGTCATGGCAAGGATTGCAACTTGCACTTGACTCCTTGCACTTGCAACTTGCACTTGACTCCTTGCACTTGCAACTTGACTCCATGCACTTGCAACTTGCACTTGACTCCATGCACTTGGCTCCTTGCACTTGGCTCCTTGCACTTGCAACTTGCACTTAACTCCGTGCACTTGCGACTTGCACTTGACTCCCTGCACTTGGCTCCTTGCAACTTGCAATGGCTCTCATGACTCCTTGCAATGACTCCTTGCAATGACTCCTTGCAATGACTCCTTGCAATGACTCCTTGCAATGACTCCTTGCCATGACTCCTTGCAATGACTCCTTGCAATGACTCCTTGCAATGACTCCTTGCAATGACTCCTTGAAACAAGCAAGGAGTCAAGTGCAAGTTGCAAGTGCAAGGAGTCAAGTGCAATTGACTTGCGAGGAGTTAAAATCTCTTCTTAGGGCGGCGGGGTAGTGCCGACGACACTACACGAAAATCGACCCTCTGCGGGGATCGGCGTGGTCGAGGTGCAAAAACCAATGGTTTTTTTGCGATTTCTAAAGGTCCCGCGCGACCCTCTGCGGGGATCGGCGTGGTCGAGGTGCAAAAGCCCATGGTTTTTTGCGATTTCTGCGGTGCTCGCGCGACCCTCTGCGGGGATCGGCGTGGTCGAGGTGCAAAAACTCGAGGTTTTTTGCGATGTTTAACCTGCTCGCGCGACCCTCTGCGGGGATCGGCGTGGTCGAAGTGCAAAAACCCATGGTTTTTTGCGATTTCCAACATGCCCGCGCGACCCTCTGCGGGGATCGGCGTGGTCGAAGTGCAAAAACCCATGGTTTTTGCGATTTCTGCGGTGCTCGCGCAACCCTCTGCGGGGATCGGCGTGGTCGAGGTGCAAAAACCCATGGTTTTTTGCGATTTCTGCGGTGCTCGCGCAACCCTCTGCGGGAATCGGCGTGGTCGAGGTGCAAAAACTCGAGGATTTTCGCGACTTTTGTTGTTCGAACTGGTCCTCGGGAGTTGTCTCGTGGTTCGCGCGCCTGCTCCCGGAACCGGCGGGTCGCGGGTCCTCCCTGGTCCGCGGGCGGGCGTCGCAAGATGCAACTTGCATTTTAAAGCAACTTGCGCAGAGCAACTTGCGCAGAGCAAGTTGCACAACTTGCGCGGAGCAACTTGCGCAGAGCAACTTGCACGGTGCAACTTGCGTAGAGCAACTTGCGCAGACCAACTTGCACCGACCAGTTTGCGCAGAGCACCTTGCCTGGTGCTGTCTCGCGCTTGCTTCACGAATGCTTCGTGTAGGGAAAAAGAACGCATCCTGCAGCGTTGGGCCGACCTCGCTTGCGATGTTCTGCTTTCGGGCCAACCGTGGTCTAGTTAATCCACCTCAAAAGAGATGTGGCCCCGTTTCGATTCATAGCCATTCGAGAGGGAGTCGGACAGAATCTTCTCCCCAGGAAGCCACCCAGCAAGCGTGCCCAAGAGTTGTGTAAGCGTTTGGCTCCACAGCGATTGTTACGTCCCGCAAGAACAGTGACGTTTTGGGTGGGTAAAACCGAGGTTTCCAAGCAGGTCTCAGATCCTTGGTCTCGGGTCCTTTCAGGCTGCGTCTTACAGGATGCACTTGGACCAGCTAAAACCTTACCTTCACCGGAGCCCCCTTGGTTTCAGCCGGTGGTGTGTGGATCTTGGAAGTGAGGTCTGCTTCTATGTTCCGGCGGCTGTGGCATTTGCCTCGCTGCAAAGGAGCCAATACCCTGATAAAGGCATTAAAACTGGGGCAGGCCCCTCGTGTTGCTTTCATCTGGAACTCTCTTTTAAACATAAGCGACAAACAGGCTTTTTGAACCCCCGTTTTATGCAGGCGCTCAGGCAGCTTACAGCGGACCCAACGATACCAAGAAACAAAGCAGCAAGCAGGCCCAGCTAGCATTCCCAACAGCAACCCTCGGAACCTTTCTGGAACCCTGGCGTGGAATACATGATATGGGAGCGAAATGGGTAACCCCTACCCGGATACTCCTTGTAGATCATATTATTTGCCTAGATGTACCAAGAATCTCCACTGAACATCTCCAAACCAGCGAAAATGTCACATACATGGAGCCTTGTGGATATGGCAACATTGTGGTTTCCCTTGGAACATCTAAGGCAAGTTTCTCGTAAGGGGACTCTATTACAGCTGCTGTTATGGTTCCTTCCATTTGCTGAAACTAATACTTTGGTGCATGTTGCTTGGCTGTTAGGACTTTAACTTTTTGCCAACCAATGGGTTTTCCACTAAACCACTAAAAGTTAGTCACTTTTAGCAGGGCTGAGCAGATTTCGCAACCGAGAATAGGTTCTTTAGTTTTCGCTTCTTGGTTTTATAGGGAGTGGAGTTCAGTGGACTGACGCTCATGTTTCTGGGGGCCGCAGACAGAGGGTTCTAGTGCCGCTGGCAGGGGGACCATGAAGTGCGCTTGGCCGCCACGGCGGCTTGGCGGTTCAAGCGGCTTTTTCCACGTAGCAGAGAAGCCAGTTGAAACTGCGTTTATGGACTTCAGTCACTTTTTGGGTTTGGACCATTTTGGCAAGCAACCAGTTTGATTTTTGAATGTGATGGCTCTGCTTGCGATCGGTGCGAGAGATGCAGGGAATGAGAAACGGATTGACCCCAAGACAAACCATCGAAGTGGTTGTGTCCTGTACTAGGTCCCCCCAGTAGTGCCCTTTTGCCCTTTTTTGGGGGAGGGTCCTAGTAAAATAGACTACAGAAAAAAGGGTACCCTCATTCAAACCTCTCTACTGGAGGACCTAGTGCACGGGGACCAAAGCCTGGGGTCATTCCATGTCTCATTCCCTACTGGGCAGCAAGTCTGTCATGTTTTTGTTTTGTTTTTTACGTCCTTGGGGCAAATTACAACTTGAAGTCTTGTGGTGTTTGTCAATTGGGCCCTTATGATCCAAGGATAGATTGGGCCTGTCCTTTTTCTAGGATTCGGACCCCCAAAATGGCGGCTCTCCTTTTGGTTCCCCTTTAAGACCACCGAAACAGGGCTACCGCGAAGGAAAAAACAAGAAGACCCAATTGTTTGGATGGATTTGAACCCCTTTCGCGGTTTGCTCCCTTCTCTTGTTGTGCAGGTTGCCCAAAAAGACTTTGTTTTTTTTCTGGCTACTTGGGATGTCCCGTGGTCCGCGCGGCAAAGTGGGATTGATTCGAAACCTTATGCTGGAGCATTGAAAACCCATGAAGTAATTGGTTGGGATTTCCTGTAATCCGCGCTGCAAAGTGCGATTCGAAACCTCATTGTGCTGGAGCATTGAAAACCAATTCGTCAACCGCAGAATCGGCAATCCGCTGATCATTGCGGATTAGGTTTTGAACAAGCTAGAATAACAATTGTCATACTAATAGTAAGCATAATAATTATAATGATAATAACTGTAGTAGTCATAACGATATATTACCAGGGGTATCGGTGTTGGGTGGCCCCCTCTTAGTTTCTGATGGCAATGCTGTCGGTTATTCACATGATGCTAGGCATGAACTCACATACAGCAGGCTTAACCCCCACGGTAACAACTTTCTAACGGACAGCAACAAACGGCCAAGTAGAACAGGTCGGAAACCCGGAAGTCTACCCGCCAATAGAAATGTGAAGAGTAAACCATGCGGATATGGGTGTCTTCATGGTGGTTTTGCTGTTGGTTCCCGCCTAAAAGTACAACAACATGTACCCTCAAAAAAACGCTCCCATATCCGGGTTCTGAGCATGTGGCTTGAATCGTCTAGGAGTCAATCGCTTTTGCCCTGACTCTCTTTCCTTCTCCGGGTTCTGGTAGAAGGATACAACCAAGAACCGAATCCTCCAAATCAGCTTGTAAAGGTGAGCTGGTCCAAATGCGTATCTATGCGTGCCTTTGTCTTGGAGGGTGCCCATTTCACCTTGAAAGGACACCCCAAAAGAAACCTACCAGTTGGGGGTCCAAATCTTTATTTTGACACCTACCCAAACCCCAATTACCGGCCAGAGCAAGGATGAAGCGGATGACGGATTGTGATCCCCAATGGATTTCGAACAGGCTAGATTTGTCCGTTGCTCATATTGGTAGTGTCCAAATGCAGATCCTGTTGCGAATCACTTAACTTGGCCCAACACCCAACCCATGAAGGCTGCTTTTTAGGGCTTCGCAGAAAAACAGAAGGCCGGTGAATTGGTATGATGCAACAATCTGTGTGTGTGTGTGCTTTATGGAATTTGATTGGGACTCAAAGGGAATTAGAGCAACCCCATCAATTTTGGGGTTGTTTGAGCAACCCACGACGGGCAGAGGACACGCCCTGAAAACCGACATGTTCTATTGAACCACATAGCTCATCCCTAGCCATTTCTGGCAGGTAACTCGAATACACCACCAAGCCAAAGTGCATGGGTGACACGTTTCCTGCCCAAGCAAGGCCCCCCTCAAGATGGCTGCTGTCCTTTTGCTTTTCCTTTCCGCGAACCGGAGGTCCTCTATTTTCTTGCTGGCTCCCAGCCATCCGGATCCTTAGCTTTTCAGGGTTTAGTGTTTAGTGGGGTTTTCCATTTAGCGGGGGATCTGAAAACGGACAGCCCAGTTTTGCGAACCCTCCCCTTGCCGCGCAGGAGATCATCCGCGTGGCCGGGATGTCCGGGTACCACACCTCCATCCTCCTGGACGGGCGGGAGTACTTCTTCGACGCCATCGGCATCCTCGAGGCTCAGGGGCGAGAGAAGCGCAAAAAAAATCGGATCGGGCCCGGGGCCAGGGATAGAAATCCCAATCACAGGTCTTTGTTTTAGGCTGTAAGAATCTGTTAGACGTTTACATAGATATGGTTCCTTAGCCTGGTAGACCGTTAGAGGTTTACATAGATATGGTTCCTTAGGCTGTTAGACTGTTAGACGTTTACATAGATATGGTTCCTTAGGCTGTTAGACTGTTAGATGTTTAGAGGGATGTATGACATCTCTTCCCCAAAAGTGTAGTGCTGTGTTCGGGAAACTGCGGGGACTGTAAAATTCACCGTGGGTACGCTTTGATTTGCACGTTCATTTGGGTATTTGCACTCTATCAGCAGCGAACCCCCCCACCCCATTCTCCGTCCATGCAACACCGAAGGGCCCCCCGTCTCGGTGGTTCAACGCACACAGCAGATGCGCCTTCAGACTCGATTTCATCGCAAAGCACAGCCCAGTTTATGGAGACGCAAGGGAACAGTCTATCAGGCAACCCTTGATTTGGTGATTTGGGGATGTGAAACCAAATGAAAGGCCACCCCGAGCCTCGAATCCACCAAGCAAAGGAAAAGCGGAGTTCAGCCTGGATACATTCTGCGCTCAAACAGACTGAAGCCTGGATACCGCTATCTATGTCATGTGGGTTTATGTAAATAGCGGAACGCCTAGAATGGGTGGTTTCCTTTGGTTTCCCAAAACACCCCAGCACATGGGTACCCTCAAACAGCGCACCCCCATGTGGGAATGAATCTTAGTTGAGAATCCTTTGGTGGAATCTTTGGTGGACATGATTTACGTGGGGATTTGTGTCCACCAATCAGGGAGGGGGGGGGTTCACCATAGCCATGACAAAGAAGTTATCGCTACATTGAGATCTCAACTGGCATTGGTATTGCACAGAACTGGCTTCTTGCCGGCATGGAACCATCGAGGATTTGTCAAGGAGCACATATCCAGAATCACGTTTTCGGAGTGCCAGAAATCAGCATGTGACCCATGCTAAGGGGTCCATGACCATCCCAACCATCCCCCAAGTAGAACTGGTGTTTTGACCATGTCACATGTGTGTCACAGTCCTTCGGTCGATCACAGAAATCTGACTGGAACACCTTACAAGCGTGGCCATTTGATTTTCCATAGGGAAACCCCAAGTCCATTCGGAGGCTCCAAGGCAAGCCATTGTAGAAGGAGATTTGAAGCGCGTGGCGGTTCCCTGTTTTCCATTATAGATTGTATGTGTTAGCGTGGTTACAGCAGGTGGTTATAGGATTGTAAGAGTCTAAGAGGTGGTTCCCCCTCTTAGTGACATACTAAAAGGGTAACTTACCATAGATAGATTAAGAGAGATTTGTTTTTGGTGGTTTCCCTTGGTTATCTACTGTAAGGGTATTTCCTGGGTAGCGGTTTCCCTTGGAAGGCCTCCTAAAATTCAAAGGGCTATCCAAACTTGGCGGCTCCCAGCCATCCGGCTCCTTGGCTTTTTGGCTCTTTAGTGTTTAGTGGTTGGACTTCCGGTTAACCCACAAGTTGGCCTCACTGAAAAAGGATCTGAAAACGGACAGTCCCAGGTGGCGCAAAACAAAACCGCCAGTGTCGCTGGGGGTTGTCGGATGGAGGCAGCACCGCTCTTCAGCCACACGTTGAACGAGGCCAAGAACCCGGATGGCAGCAAAACGATGGTGGCGCCCCGGAAAAAACGAACACCCGCGCCGGCGGGCCGAAGCGCCCGCGGGCGTTTTTTGGGCGGCTTTTTTGGTTTGGAAGGCTTTTGGGGTTTGTTTTGGACGGCTTTTGGTTTTTTGGGTTGGGCGGCTTTTGGTTTTGGTGTTTGGTTTTGGGGTGGTCCGAGTCGGTTTTGACCATCGATGTCTCAGTTTCTTTTGTGGTTCTCGCAGGGTTAGGGTTTGGTTGTGCTTGCCTCCAGGGCCCAGATAGGGGTGGTTTGGGGCAGCTGAATTCAGGAGGGTTTCGGAGATTGGGTTCCAAGGGATTTTGGCTGTTGGGGATACCACCTGGGCTTATTGATTGAAACAAGAAGAAGCACGAACACGAGTCGGGTTGGCTGAAAATCGATGTCCCGGGTTCGGGGGTTCTTTTGCTAGTGTTGATTTTGGGTTCACACGATTAAAACATCGATGGAAGAGTGGCAAGCCGGTTTCAGTGCAAAGTTCCATATTTCTGGGTGGCGCGTAGGCTTGCATGCGTGTTGCTTGAGGGAAGTGGGGGGGATTTGCTTGCAGCGCGGCTTGCAGATTTTTTTCAGATCAGGGCCTGACCTTTGAGGTTCCTTCCCTCGGCTCCCAACTTGAAATTTCAGGCCCCGATCAAGCCCAGGTCTCCCAGACCTACCGCAAGGTTTCACCCCACCGCAAGGGATCGAGTCTTCCGGAGTTCCGAGCCCAATCAAGTCCAACCTCAGCGCCAAATCTGGGCCGAGCCCCACCAAAGCCAAGTCCATTTCCACCAAATCCTTTGGCCTACCCAAAGGCTCTTGGGGCTTTCAGTGGAAGTCCCAACCCCTCCATTAGAGCTGAAACCTGGCTGTAGGGCCCTAAATTCATCGAATTGGAGCGTCTGGGTAGGGGACAATTCTCTCGAACTTGCCGTCCGAGGTGCCCGTTGGCTGCAGCCACTGCTCTGCTAGAGAGATGGTGGACTTCCTGCAGGAGTACTTCCTCCGAGGCCTTCAAGGGGCGAAAAAGGATCCGCGTTTCAAAGCTAGGTCCCCCAGCTAGGTGCCCCTTTGTCGGATAATCTTTGTCGTTTCTTTTTTGGGGGAGGGTTCCCCATACTAAAATAGACTACAGAAAAAGGGTACCCTTATTCTAACCTCGGACCTAGAAAGAGTGCGTCAGCGGGTGGATATTTGCATCTTTGGGATTCAAGACCGAGCCTCCGATAACATATGTTACAGATCCCAGGCGTTTCGATGCGGGTCACCTGCCATGCTCCTTTTAAAGTCTTTGCTGGTTCCCTTGGTTACCTGTACAGGAAAATGGAATCGCAGGCTTTGGCTATTCAATGGTTGGAACTCCCACCCTGTCCACCAATGTCCCAAATAAGATTCATACCCGGTGGACGGTCCACTTGGAAGGGGCATGGGAGACTCCAAACTGTCCCACACAAATTGTCCCAAGTTTCCTGGAAATTCCACTTCCGAAGCGACTAAAGCTCCAGTGAATCAGTCCCCCAAGTGGTTGAAGCCCGACCATACCCACGGGGACTGAAGCAACTGGGGATATTAACCAGGGCGTGAGTAGCCCGAGCACATCTTCTCATCGTTCACAATCCATTGGCTCCGCAACTCACTTCAAAAACTTCACATAGGGCTTGCAGATTCGGCGACTTGCGACCCTCGCAAGATATGCGGATCTGTCTTTTTCAAGGGCACAGCGCCAAACCTTGGCCAGGCTCCTATGACGTGCTTTACAAGACTCGCACTTCTAGGTCCCCCACCTAGGTGCCCTTTTGCCGTTGCTTTTTTGGGGGAGGGTTCCCCTACTATATAAAATAGACTACAGAAATAAGGGTACCCTTATTGTAACCTCTCTACTGGAGGACCTAGGCTTGGATTTTCCATTTTTGGAAACCAACATCCAAGCCACCTGTTGCGGGGTCCAAATGGAGTCACGTGCGCTCGGCTCAAAGAAGGGGAAACCAACATGACAAAGCCAAATGGGTCCTTAGAAGGTCTATTTCGACACATGGGGAAACCAGATGCCAGGAAATGGTTTTGTCATACCGCCTAGAAAAAGAAACAAATATGGCTTCCCCCTTGGTGTCCCTTCGACCTCCCCACCCCCCCCCCCGCTATTAAAAGAAAACAAAGAAAAACGCTAGGCTCCTACCGTTATGCCGTTCCCCGAAAGAAAAAACACACACACACACACACACTCCGCCAGGCTCCTATGACGTGTTCTACAAGAACTGCAACACCTTCTCGGACGCCGCGCTGTACTTCCTGACGCGGCAGCGGATTCCCGGGTGGTGCAACCGCATCGAGCGGCTGGTTACCGCCACTAAGCCGGTGTCTATCAGCCTGCTGAACCGACTCTTCAAGGCACGGCTCGCAGCGTAGGTGTTGACCCTGTGTACTAATATGGGGGTGTCCCTGGTTTTAGTGGAAGATAAATAATTCCGTTTGGAGGGGAAGACCCCCCTCCCCCAATTCAATGAACTTTTTTTTTGTAATTGCGGGGGTCAACATTATCTAAGGGTCGATTCCCCATCTGCACGCATCGTTCTCTTTTGAATCCTCGGGGGTTGGCGCCTTTTTTGAAGGGTGTGGTTGCCCAAATCACAGAGTTCTTCAGGATTTGGCGCATTCTTGTTAAGGGTATGGGTACCCTCTTTCCAGCCAATGGAAGTGGGCCGGATGGATTTGGAAGACCATCCTCTTAAAGTGGCCCCAAATGTCCGTTTCCACGCTAGTTGGACACAGGCCAGCAGAGTTGATCCATCCCTAGCTCGAAGATGAAATCAGGTGACACCCTGGACATAGCTTTAATTCCAATACCCGGCAGGGTATCGGGCTGAACCGACGCAAGGTGAACCCCAGCGGTAAAATATGTTTAAGTTCAGCCAACCCCCCTGGTACCCTAGAGGGAAGGCAACGGAATCAAAGGAAGGTTGTTTGAGCAATAGTTGCTTAAACATGTTTAAACAGTTGGTTAGCCCTCCTCATCAGCTGTTCCTGTCCCCGCGCCTCACAAATGAAGTGTTTTTTTTTGACAGGAGATCGTTATTTCAATCCCAGTTTAGCCTGCGGAAGACGAGACCAAGGGATTGAGCCCCCGCCAACCCCGTCACCCTTAAGGTTGGGGAGATCGTTCCTAAAGATTAATACCCAAGGCTTTTTGTTTCAGGAAAAAAACACAAAAAAGCAAGACCTTATACTTGTTTGGAAGGCCATTTCAGTCGTGAGCAAAAAGTTGAGACGTGTTTTGGTTTAAATCCGCTCAGGAAATGATAAGGGGAGAGATTCGGTTCGGTTTCCTTTTCTTCAGGGTTGCCGTTGTTTGAGCTGCAACAAGTTCCCGGCTGGGAAGCTGAAAGGATCCTTGTATTGGGGTCTATGTTCGTCTGGCAAACCTGGGCGAGGCAGGAATTCGGCCGGATTTCAGGGGGCGGACATGATGTTGACCCTGGATCAATCAACCCCGTTTATTAGTAGGGGGATCCCTGGGTTTGGTGTTGGTAGGAAACGTTACTGTGGATACGCGTTACTGTGGATGGACAATCGCCTGCACCAGTTGCTGGTGTATTTGTCGAGCTTCGCAGGGCTTCATCCATCCGGGCGGGCAGGCTTTTGTCCATCCAGAGGCTTGGGACAATATGCGTTGTTTGCTGGCAACAAAGCCACTTCTTCTCAGGATTGATTTCCAATCTCTTCATTAGAACTGCATCTGCAGCATCCAGCACCAGCCAAGGGGCCCAACATGTTACAGGGGTATTTACTCCGAGTTTCTAGAAAGAGACCAAACCCCAAGAACCATAGATTGACAAGGGTCTGCTTTGCCTCCCTCTTCGCCATGACCGAAACTTCTTCCAATGCTATTCGATCGCGTTGAATTGGAGCAGCCTTGGATCGACCACTGGTCTCAGCAGACGACATAGTTGCTTAGTCTCGTTTTCCTGGCAGCGGTTTCGGAGCCTCGATAGTTCTGGATGCCAACCAGTTGACGCTGGCCTGCAACTGCGACAACCATCATGTCGGCCTTCCAGCTGTCCGGCCAAAGTCTGGGTTTTCTGGCTTCTCCTCAAAAACTATAGGCTATATTTCAGACAAGCTGTGAAACACTTACCTCTTAAAAGTTTACAACTTTTCGTAACTTTTTGGGTAACATGGGCTATATGTCTGTAAACGATGAGAACTTCCCCAACTGCGCAGGGAGTTTTAAGGGGTAAGAACAGAGCCTCAAAATCTATAGGCAAAAAAAATCAGACAAGCTATGAAACAGAACCCGAAGATCTGCTCCTCCGGGTCCAGGCAGAAACTGAAGGTACAGCCCTCCGGACGGTCCCGAACGGCCTCTCCGTTGGGCCAGGCCCTCGTGGAGCAATCCTCGGGTGTGACGCTGGAGGGGGACATCTACACCCCGAACCCCGTGTCCGCGGACTTCTCGGTGGACACCATCATCAACTCCCTAGGCGCTTTTCCCGAAAAAGAAAAAAAGTAGTAGCAAATTAAGTAATTTAAAAAAGAAGAACAAAAAACACTGAAGAGGAAAAAACACCCAGCCAAACGGCGGTGTTGGGGGGTTGGGATTGGGGGTTAGGGTGGAGTGTGTTAAGTCAGAGTTGGGGTTGGGGTTCGGGGGAGTCAGGTGAGATGGTCGCAACATAGGTTTGAACCAGGTCCCGTTTTGTTGCCCTTCAAGTAATCAAAAGTACTGAGCAACTGACACAGTTACTGGAAGTCTATGGTTGGTTTGCCTGGGACGGAGCCCGACAATTCCCAGAAAACACGCCCGCCCAATTGTCGGATGTCATCTTGGGGAAACGAGCAAGCTTGTCCGCTCATCGTCAAAGGCCCAAACTGGCCATGTCCATCAGCCCTTGACGCATTGGGATCAAGTCGTTTCCTCCCTCCATGGGGGCAAAAGGATACTTGCACTCAGGGGGTCCTTGGGCGTTGGGCGTTGCGTTTTTCGTTTTTTTCGGAGGAGGGTGCGGGTTGAGTTGGTTGGCTAGCAAGTGCTGTAGGGTGCCGCGCACGTGCGGCTCCAAGTTGCAAGTCATTAACATTACAGCAACTTGGTTGCCGCTCCAGAAAATCTCCAGGTTGCCAAGCAACAACCCATGAAATTACTGCACACTTGCTCCGAGTCGTCGTGGCGAATGGCAAAGGTCTGGGGGCTCCTGGGCAAGCAATCATAGTAAGTTCCCAGTTGTTGTTTTTTGCAACATGTTTCAACTTGGGTGTGGCTCAAAATTAAAGAGCGGTTACGCAGGTGTTTGTCTTTGGTTCCATTTGCCCAGGTGCCACGTGGGTACATTTTCTTGAGCCACAGCCACTTGAGTTTGTAGGCCCTTTGTTATGGCTGTGGCGCAGGTGACGAGGAGGCTACGTCCTCGGAGTCGGGGTCTGAGGAGGACGGGTGACGCGTCATGTGACGCTTCGGACTCGCGGGGGCGTTGTCCACCTTCTCGGCCGATTCCTTCAAAACCCGCAAGGGCCGCCTTGGTTCATTGATTTTTCGGCCGTTGGTCAGGCTTTTGGTAATCTAGGTCCCCCAGCTAGGTGCCAACTTTTACCGTTTCCATTTTGGGGGAGGGTTTCCCTACTAAAGTAGACTACCGAAAAAAGGGTACCCTTATTCTAACCTGTCTACTGGAGGACCTAGTCAATGCCACCTTTTAAAGGGCATACCCAAGGGCTTCTTTTTGTTGACAGCAGATCACATGTCAGGAGGCCAGGCGTGGGGTCCTGTTGGTTTCCCGAAGCAAGGCGATGCGGTCATTTGCAAGCTCTCCCTGAATCTTACCAAGCGCTTTTCCCTTTCAATGTTTGTGCTGCACTCTATCTACAAAGTTACGCAATTTGGGACCCGTTCCAAGTTGGATGAGTACTTTGCTTCTAGAGGAGCCCATTTGACCCCGAATTACCCTAAAACTAAATATCGTTTGACCGCCGGCGAATATTTATATTAATAGAGGGCGTATTTATGAATAAGGGGAAGCGATTTATTATGTCCTTACTTCATTTCTCAAAATTGGTTGACACCCCCAACCAATTTCTAGTTTCCCTTGAATCTGTCCAGAAAGAGGTAAACAGCCATATGGGTTGTCTCACCCTCCACATACCTGGTTCCTTTCAGACTTCCCCAACAAAAATCGAACCCTGCTGAGTTGACTGGTCAAAAAAAGCTCATCGCTTCGCGATTCGACCAAAGTTTCTATGAACAGATCTGAGATGCCTCTACCCCCAAGGGGACATCAAGGTCTATTTCCTTTACATAGTGGGCAAAATACACGCCCATGTCTCACAGGACTCAGGCGAGGAGGGCGCACCGGCTCCTTCGAGCCCGGCAACAGCTCCGGGCACGCTGTCGAAGCGCCTGTCCTCGATCTTCTACTCCGAAGTTCCTTTGGAGCAATGAGCTGCGAAGGGTCAGGGGTAGGTGTGTCCTTCAACTATATATACATGGATATGGATAAATCATATAATATACATATACATTTCAAGAAACATATGTATTATGTCATGTCGATTCGGTGTATATCATGCCTATTGTATATCTATATATATGTGGAACAAACACAGTGTTTTTGCAGTCATCTTGTGAAGGAAGACGGAAACGTAGTTCATGGGGGGGCCTGACCATATATTAATATATTTATGTATATAGGCAAACTACCGGACTGGAGGTTGATTCGAATGGTTCGCCTCGCCCTGGTTCCGGCTCTACCTGCTTTAATGGAAGCAGGAGAGCTCATGCCGTAGGTTCCCACCATCCGCCAGGCTCCACCAGGCGGGTCTGGAGCCTAGGTTCCATGAGGAGACTCAGATGTGTTGTCTGGCAGTTGCGCATTTGCCAGAAGGCCGCGTCTTTTGTGAGGGTACCCCCTTGTTTGGGCGGTAAAAAGGACAGTCACCAGTTTGGAGAGGCTCCTCTCCAGAAAAAAGCCGAAGATTTGCAGATGTACCTGTGACAAGTCCGCTCGAGACTCGGCTCTCGCTTTCCGACGTCTCACTCGGGTCTTGGGCTCGTAATTCAAACTGGCCGGCAGTGCCTGGCCTCGGGGCGCTGCGAAGGGCCCTTGTTGCAGTCTGAACATGTGATGCGCGGGAACTCGATGATCTACTGGGGGGTTCCCTTCTTCCCTTGTTTCGCGTTTGAGGATTTGGGGTGAGTTGAGAAAAAAATTGACTGGCTTGTGGATGGCAATGGACTCCAGTTGTCGGCTGGCTGCCAGGCTTTTGGGGGGTTATATGTCAAGGGGTGGATATATATATATATATGAATATTTATAATATATACATACTGTCCCCCCATGGCCCTGGTTTGGTGAGTTTGACCTGTGTCTTTCCACTGTTATATTGCCTTCTTGGTCCATGGGGGGGGTTGCATATATATATATATATATATATATATATATATAATAATATGCATCCACAGTGGCAACTTCAAGATGGAACCAGCCGAGCTCGTAAATGACAGGTGCCGATTTTCCAGTCATGCTTCTCAGACTGGGCGAAATCTGTGGGATATGCCAATGGCTTGCCCTGGGTACCTAGGGGTAAGGAAAGCGCAGGTGGCAAGCCCGAAAAAGCCACCTAGCCGATGTTTTCGATTGGGGTTCTTTGCCATGGCTTATCAGGCTAGTGATGGGGAAGTCCCTGTCATTCATCTTCATCTACTTGCTACCTGTTCAGGGACTTCGCAGCACTGTCCCGTTTCCCCATGGGCGCTACCAGATGGCCGGAGACAAACAGAGTGGTCTCACAAAGAGCGCAGGCGTCGTGGCAAAAGCGCGGAGATTGACCATGCGACACGCGGACGTTTGCTTGAGCCTCTGCGACTATTGCTGATGTTCATTGAAGCTTCATACAGTGCCTGCTCACGTTATGTTGGGTTTGGTTGGTGAGAGGAGGAGCAACATGGGTCGAAGGACTGGTTGAAAGTGGCGGTTGGAGGCAGGGAGAAGGGGAAGTTCACAAGTCGCACCAAGTGTTAGTGCGTCTTTATCCTGGCGGCTGTTACGGGGGTTTCTCATCGAAGGCCTGAATGGGTTGGGTATACAAAGCAACAGGTCATCTTTCTTCGGATTAAACCGGAGGACTACACCCATCCTATCAATATCCTTAAGCTAAAATAGTGCTTGGTTTTAGAAACAGCCTGGCTCAGAGTGCACCTGGACTATGGAACTATTGAGTCCGAAGTGAGCATCTTGTTAGTGTGGAAAACCAAAAGGCTCCTCTTAAGGCGCCATAATTTTGTCACCTGGGAGGGTGGCTCTGAAATCAGAAAAAAAAACCTGAGGTGGACAAGTATGTGCAGAAGGTGCTGGCTGAGACCTCTGCGGACGTGGAGGAGGTCGTTATCGAGAAGGAGCGGAGCGCCCAGCGATGCTTTTTTTTTGGTTTCCGCTGCCAGACGCGTCCAACTCGCTGTGCTTTTTCCGATTTTTAAGGGGCAAAGTTTGGAACTGGTTGGCTCAATTTCTGAGCTTTCAGAAGGGCGTTCGTCGGGGATTTTTTCTCCCTAGACTCAGGCTCCAATTCGATGAATTCAGGGCCCAGCCAAGTTTCAGCTCTAGGAGGGGTTGGGACTTTAGTCCATTGTGGGGAAGACCATTTTGGTACCGACGCTCCAATTCCATCAATTTGGGGGCCCTCAAACAGCCAGGTTTTCAGAGCCAGCACCTCCGGGGTGTCTAAAGGGTTTGTTGGACTTCCATTGAAAGCCGAAGCCGGGAGCCTCTGGGTAGGTCGAAATGGATCTGGTGGAAATGGATGTGACTTTGGTGGAACTCGGCCCAGATTTGCTCGGCCCAGAATTTGCTTTTGGCCCATCGCTCGGAGGTCCAAAGGGTCCCTTGAGATTTTCCGAATGTGGCCAAGTCCCCGCGCCAGAGACTGGGAAGTTGTTCAGCGGGAAGCCATGTGCGAACCATTTGCCAGACCCTTGGTGGTTCCCAGCCACCCGGTTCCTTAGTTTTTCAGCCTTTTAGTGTTCAGTGGTGGTTTCCATTGATTTCCATGTATATAACAGGAAGGACCGGTTTGGTCTCATCGTTTGTCTTTGTTTGGACTCTCCTTCCGCTTGGGTCTGAGCCAGCTTTCTTGCTGCTCAGAATGGGGGAATGAACGCGGATATCTAGCCAACTGGCTTCCTAGGGGGATCCCCTGGTTCATTCCCTTCCCTGCCTATCGCACCAGCAAGCTTTCCTACTTTGGAGTCTTCCGCACTTGGGAGGGAAGTCCGTGCAGTCGATGGCCGCAGGATGGCAGCTATCGGATTGTGGAGGAGGAGGAGCAGGCCATGGGTGCGTCGCACAATAATTTCCACTTCGATGTCGGATGAAGGTTTTTTTTGGTCATACTGGTGGGCAAATCCAGAAACCGCACCAGCTGGTAGGTGATGTATCAACCAGCGTTTTTCCTTTTTCTTCGGGTCTCATCCGTCCCAACTTGTGCCTTCGGGTTTGTCCACCCACGGTAGGTATTGCCAAAAAAAATCGGTTGCCGACAAAAACAAGTTTGCCCAAGTGGCCCGATGAAATGGGTTCGAGGAGCCGAGTCTTTGATTGATATGGGTGGCTCGATGAAATGAACAGGCTGTGTGCCTGACACACCTCCAAAAGCTTCCAGGGGGTTCACCTTCATGAGCTGGCAAGTGCTTGGGACATGTTCCTGCAGCACGCACGTGCTGGGTGTTGTTTGGTCGCTCCTTGCACATCAACCGCTATCCTTTTCTCAAATCGTGAAATACGCAGATGGTGTGTCGGGGAGGCCAGACAATGGTGGTGGTTTCCCTTTTGGTTTCCATTTGAAACACCCAAGAAGGTGCCACCAAGAAAGACACGCCAGATTCCAGACTGCGACCCACATTTTCTTCCGGATATCTTTGGGGTCTTGCATGGAGTTGTGCCTTTTGAGGAAGGGTGCTCATGTCTGGTGCGCGGCCCTTGTTGGCGGGTTCACGGTCGTGGCTCGGCAGGAGCTGCCACAAGATCAAGTTATTTCTTGGATGATCCCACCACGTTAGGTAAGTGTTTCATATCCTCAAGCGGGTTATGTGCAGGGCTTCATGAGCAATCCGGTAACATCCTCTCGGGGTTTCCCAATAGGGGGTGTGGATCAGGATATGCCTACCTTTCATGTTGAAGTGATCAAAGGGGCCGCCCGCCATAAATGATTGTGTCGAGCAACTTAAGGCCAAGCAAGAAGGTTAGCTCTCCTGCACATGAATGTGTATGCATGTTTATGTGTATATATATATATATATACATATGTCCCCCCTCCCCAAAAAAGAGGTCCCTGGCGTGAACTGCATTTTGGCTCCACTCCCCACAACAAATCCTGAATAATTTTCAGAGTCTAGATTCCATAGCACCTTTGTCCGGTAATAATCAATCCTATCCCTGCCATCGGGGGAGTTTTTGGATTCTTTGGTTGTATTGTTTGCTATTTTCATGTTCGGTCCAGTGGAACTGTTGCGCAACACTGTCCAAGTGTTGCGCAACATTGGGCAGGTATTGCAATGGACCAACAAGCCGAGAAAAATAGGAGACAACCAAACAATACATTCCAGCCGCGGTGGGGGTAGGATTGGTTCTTGGATGTTTGGTTGACAACAAAGACCCCCAAATGGAGCTGCAGACTCGAATTGCACAGCGACCAGGATGGCTAGGACCCAGTAATTCAGGATTTGGATCGCCTTTACCCTGGCCCCTATTTTTGAAGCAGGATGTCCTGTTTGCTTACACAACTTCCTTGAAGTTTCAGGTGATTCAGTTACTTGGATTTGAACGGGTCACACACTTGATAAATTGAGATATGCATCTTAACAGCTCGCACGCTTAGTTAGTGTTTGCTGCTTGAGCATTTGCATGAGTAGCACCGCAGTGACAAGATGCAAGATTGGAAGTGGTTGCTAAAAGCAGTGTTAGCTACAACTGGCACCGACTTTGATTGCTGCTCTGCTTTCACCGGCAGCAATCTGTTGCAAGATGGAGCAAGCCTGGCTCTATGCTTATGTTTGCAGGGCGCTTGCTTTCTAGCCTGAAGCAAATTTCTTCAGCCCTCTTGAGTTCTCGAAAGCTCTGGATTGTCTCTAGATATCTCACAGGGCATGACCAAGCTATGAGAGGTGCACCGTTCGGCGTGACGCAGCGTGGATCAACACTTGAGACCAGGTTGATTGAAAGCTCTTGTAAGCCACAAAAGGGGTCTCCAGCAGTCGCTGACTCTTTGGGGCTTGGGATGACTCAAGACGAAGCTTTAGCCCGCAAGTGACACTATCGTTGGATGACTGATCTCATTTGCTGGATGTGATGGGCCGTGGAAGTGAATGCTTCGTGCGATATATATATATACACATGTTATATATATATATATATTCACACATGTAATAGATATATGAACACATTCATACGTGATCATGTTGTTTGGTGGTGTATTTCTTGATAAGTTTACGCATTGCTCTGTTTGTTTGTCGGTTTGTTGACAAGCATCTTATCCTTCGAACCCTCGCCCATCTTCCCCAGCCTCGGGTGGCCAGGAGCCGGACCCCGTGAAGGCGCGAAACATGGCGGAGAAGTCAGGGACTTTGGGTATCACTTCTTGTGGACAATGTCCCTAGATTTCCCTTGTTAGTGGTTTGGAACATCACCTTTGGGGTGGTTTTATGGGGGCTGGGGGGAGGGAGGGGAGGGGGAGGGAGGCCTTAATAAGGGCTTAATAAGGGCTTAATAAGGGTTTTGTTGGGCTCCCTCCCCCCCTCCCCTCCCTCCGCCTAAGACCCCATGATGGTTTGGAACATCACCTTTTGGGTTGTGAGGGGAACTGATTGAGGTGCAAGAGGGGACCTCGAGAACCTTTTTAGGTACCCTTGGGTTGCCCCAAAAACAAGCGACCTTTTTGCCCTTTATAAGCCTGGTTCAAACCGGGGGGAAGGAAAACCATAGTTTTCGTATCGAGAGATCGAAAAGTTTCAAACTTTTGAACACCCAAGTGGGATCATAACCCAAAGCAAAACCACAGTTTTCCCCCACTCTACCCCTTTTTGACCACCGAGCCTGGGACCTTTTGGCGCCCGCAACCCCAACGCCTCCCAGGAGAAGCCCAAGAAGGCGGAAGGCGATGAGCCGGGGGCCCAGCTGACCTCTGGGTCCCCCAGCTAGGTGGCCAATGTTTACCAACTTTTTTGGGTTGGGAGATTCGGTTCCCCCACTAAAATAGACTAATTACCGAAAAAGAAATCTTAAAAGAAAAAGAAACAAAAAAACAGAAAAAAAAGAAAAGAAGTTGGTGCCCTTATTCTAACCTCTCTACTGAAAAACACCTAGTCTCTCTGCATCCTTCTGGTGATAACAACCAAGCTGGAAGTCTCGATCATCAGACGAAGAATGCGTGCAGCATGCAGGCAAACCGTTCAACCACCAACCATGAGTCCAAGATAGCGGTCACCATGGGTCAGTGCCGAAATTCATGTCACAGAAGCTGCTGCCCACGGCGTGCAATGTGAATCAAACATAGGCAATGTCTTAGGATGACTTGACGCAGGTTGGTTCCGAAACTTGCAAGCATGTTCCGCACACCCCACGGTTGTTTGTCAGCGCGGCGCGAACTAGGAGGGCCTAAGAATTGCCCTGCCAGCAACGCACAAGGTTTGATGCACAGACCCCCTTCTGCAAGACACATTTAACTTGTGTGGGGGGGGGGTTGTCCGCTTCTGTGTTTGTGGGTGGGAACTTTTGAAATCAATTCAAGACATGATCGCAGGAACAACATCATGAAAATACAACCACCGCCGCCACCACCAACACCACCACCGCCACCACCAGCTCCACCAGCATCACCACAGCCTGTCTCCCTCCTCATCACGACCGCCATTGGCGTCTCTCAGACCTCTAAAGCAGTTGACATTCCCCATTTATCGCTTCGGCCGTTACAGGGTGGGAGTTTTGCGCATCTGAAAGGGATCGAGTCTCCAAGGTGAGCTTCCTATGGTTGAACATAGGGAACCCGATTCAGGTTCCCTTCAACTGATGGAGTCCTTTGAAGCTGCCACTTGAGCTCCAAAGGGAACTGAGGGACGCCGGCGGTTTCCCTTTCGAAGCTCAGGGGCGTCTGCATTTGGCCGCCGAAGTGAGATCGCCAGTTTTGCTGGGGTTCAAGATATAAATCGAGTGGACAAGTGCGCGAGGCGGCACCTCAAGAAACCCGCGATGCTTGAGCATGTGGGGTGTGTTTGTTTTTAGGGCCTCCGAAAGTGGGTGGTTTTCCTTTGGGTTCCCTTTTAAACCAAGCCCAAAAAGGGTAGGCACAAGCAAAGCAGGCTCATGGTAGAACTTTGCAGTTGATCGCATGTGGCAAGGCATTCTGGATCGGCTGATTTCAGGGGGCCTTTCGCAGGGGTTCCCAAAGGTTTGAGTGGTGCGGTGCGTTCCCGTATTGATCTTCGCTGAGGATTCCTGAAGCGCAGGACCCGAAAGGGCGTTCCGGGGCGTTCGGATCGTTGAAGGTGTTTCCTGGTTTGGTGGTGGGGGAGGGTTCCCCTACTAAAATAGACTGCAGAGAAAAAAGGGTACCCTTATTCTAGCCTCTCTACCGGAGGACCTGGTTTATAGCCATGTTAGTAGAACCAAGCGTCGATGGGTTTTGCGTGCTACTCAGGTGGAATCATTGGCCCCTGTGGGTATGGCCTTGGATTTCCCTCTCTTAAGGCTTGTTAAGTCCCAACCTTTTTTCCCGAAAGCATCGCGAAGGGTTCTTCCGTGCGGAGCCCTTGGACAAGTTACACAGAGCCAAGTTGCACAGAGCCAAGTTGCACAGAGCCAAGTTACATAGAGCCAAGTTACATAGAGCCAAGTTACATAGAGCCAAGTTACATAGAGCCAAGTTACATAGAGCCAAGTTACATAGAGCCAAGTTACATAGAGCCAAGTTACATAGAGCCAAGTTACATAGAGCCAAGTTACATAGAGCCAAGTTACATAGAGCCAAGTTACATAGAGCCAAGTTACATAGAGCCAAGTTACATAGAGCCAAGTTACATAGAGCCAAGTTACATAGAGCCAAGTTACATAGAGCCAAGTTACATAGAGCCAAGTTACATAGAGCCAAGTTACATAGAGCCAAGTTACATAGAGCCAAGTTACATAGAGCCAAGTTACATAGAGCCAAGTTACATAGAGCCAAGTTACATAGAGCCAAGTTACATAGAGCCAAGTTACATAGAGCCAAGTTACATAGAGCCAAGTTACATAGAGCCAAGTTACATAGAGCCAAGTTACATAGAGCCAAGTTACATAGAGCCAAGTTACATAGAGCCAAGTTACATAGAGCCAAGTTACATAGAGCCAAGTTACATAGAGCCAAGTTACATAGAGCCAAGTTACATAGAGCCAAGTGGCACAGAGCCAAGTGACACAGAGCCAGGTGGCACAGAGCCAAGGTTAGGTAGAGCTTGCGTAGAGCTTCGGCGTAAGCAGCTATGTAAGTTAGTTTAGGTTTCTAAGGCGCCGGGGCGGGAGTTTGATCGTCGCTCGGGATTGCGACCCTCTGCGGAGATTCGCGTGGTCGAGGTCAAAAAACTGCGGACTTTTTACGATTTCTGCGGTGCGCGCGCGACCCTCTGCGGAGATTCGCGTGGTCGAGGTTAAAAAACTGTGACTTTTTACGATTTCTGCGGTGCGCGCGCGACCCTCTGCGGAGATTCGCGTGGTCGAGGTTAAAAAACTGAGGACTTATTACGATTTCTGCGGTGCGCGCGCGACCCTCTGCGGAGATTCGCCTTGTCGAGGTTCAAAAACTGAGGACTTTTTACGATTTCTGCGGTGCGCGCGCGACCCTCTGCGGAGATTCGCGTGGTCGAGGTTCGAAAACTGAGGACTTTTTACGATTTCTGCGGTGCGCGCGCGACCCTCTGCGGAGATTCGCGTGGTCGAGGCTCAAAAACTGAGATCTTTTTACGATTTCTGCGGTCCGCGCGCAACAGTCTGCGGAGATCGTGCGCGTCGAAGCGCTCTCGCTGTGGCGCCGTGCGAATTTGTCTTAGTCTCGGCGAACCCTCCGCGGAGATTGTGCGTGTCGAAGCGCTCTCGCTGTGGCGCCGTGCATTTTTCTTGCTCGCGAAACGGCCTTTGGAAGTTGTCTCGTGGTTTGCGCGCCTGCTTTCGCAATCCCGCGGTCGCGGGTTCGATTCCCCCCTCGTCCGCGGCAGGTCCGGCTTGAAAATCGCAGCATTTGAGTACAAACGTAGTACGCGGAGCGCGCTCCTGCAGCTCCGGCTGGAAAATCGCAACTTTTAAGTACAGACGTAGTATGCGGAGCGTGCTCCCGCAGCTCAGGCTGGAAAATCGCAACTTTTAAGTACAAACGTAGTACGCGGAGCACACCCCCGCAGCTCCGGCTTGAAAATCGCAACGTAGTACGCGGACCGTACTCCTGCAGCTCCGGCTGGAAAATCGCAACTTTTAAGTACAGACGTAGTATGCGGAGCGTGCTCCCGCAGCTCAGGCTGGAAAATCGCAACTTTTAAGTACAAACGTAGTACGCGGAGCACACCCCCGCAGCTCCGGCTGGAAAATCGCAACTTTTAAGTACAAAAATAGTACGCGAAGTACATTCCCACAGCTCCGGCAGCACTTGCGCAGAGCAACTTGCGCAGAGTCACTTGCGCAGAGCAACTTGCACAGAGCAACTTGCACAAAGCACTTGCGCAGAGCAACTTGCACAGACCAACTTGCACAGCGCACATGCGCAAAGCGCTTGCACGGAGCAACTGGCGCAGAGCACTTGCGCAGAGCAACTTGCTCAGAGCACTTGCGCAGAGCAACTTGCACAGAGCACTTGCGTGCAGCAGCGTGCAGCAGCTTGCAGAGAGCAACTTGCGCGCAGCAGGCTGGAACAATGCAGCTCGCGCAGACCACTTTCGTGAGAAATCGCGCGGCGCAGTTCGAGAGGAAAGTAGGATGATGAGATGGAGCTCTCATGTGACCATACACACTGAGCATCGCTGCTCGCAGACACGCTCGCCGCAGCATGCCGCAGCGATGTAAAAAGGTGTCTCCGCGGCTGGATGAGCGCCTGTGGAAAAATGCTTTCGGGCCGATCGTCCTCTAGTGTTTTTTTTTGGGGGGGGGTTGCTCCTCGCCAAAAAGAATCCAGCAGGTTACCAGGGTTGTTCTTTACACGAAGTTATCATTCATGATTTGGTTACTTACACCGGAGACGGGCGCAGCTTATGGTGGGCTTCAATCGTCCAAAGGGGAGGCGATGATACAACTCGCTGAAGAGGATTCCGAAGTATTTTGGGTTTGTGTATCACAGTTAAAAGCCCCTGTTTCCGCTTTTAGATTCTGAATTATTTTGAGTGTCTGAATGAAAATTGAAAGTTGGCCCATGTAGCAATGGGTGGAACACCTCAAACATGGTAGGGACATAAGTTCCCACGCGTTTCTGATGTCCAGCAAGGGGTGCCACCACTTGAAATAATAATAATAATAATAATAATACTAATAAGTTTGTGTTTGGGCAAGTAAGTTGTTATCTACTTCCAAGTCGTGTGCCTATGTTTCGCTTGGGATGATACCTAGTTTCCTGTCCATGGGTGTCCCAAGCAATGTGTGTGTATGTGTGTGTGTGTCTTTTGTTCAGGATCCTCTTTGTTGAAAGGTGCATAGTTGGAAGCCACAGGCAGCCAATTGTTTGGGATCCCGAGTGACACGCCCAACACTTTCATACCCAACACGGTGACGGTCAACTTGGAGAAGGTGGCACGGGGAAGTTCCGCCACAAGTCTTTTAGGTTTCGGGCCCCTAAAGTGGCAACGGTTTCCTTTTGCTTGACTGCTATTGGGTTGGATCTTTAGACTTTGACTTTTTGGACCTTTTGCAGGGGGGTCAACAGCAACCCAGTTTTGGTTTCCCCTCAACAAAAGAGGTTTCCCCGCAAAAAAAACGCAAGATTTGGGTTGCTATAAGTTGGTTTGCCCTGAGGTTTGGATGGCTAGAACATGGTTTCGGCTGAACGATGTAGGGGTACCCCTGCCAGAGGTCGTAGTTGTTTGACGGTACCCGTTTCACGGCAAGGCTTTCATGTGCTGGGATCGCATTTGTTTATTAGTTTTTTCTTGGATGTAGAAGGACCCCAGTAGTGCCCTTTTACCAACTTTTTTTGGGGAAGGTTCCCTAACATAGACTACAGAGAAAAACGGTTACCCTTATTCTAACCTCTCTACTGGAGGGCAAAGCCAATAGAAGCCCTTTTCATTGAAACCATCCCTTCCCCAGAATTAGTTCCCCTTTTTGATTTTTTGTTTTTTTGGGGTCCCTTTGTTTTCCACTAACCAGGCAAAGATATTTTTTTGCTGGGGTCCGATGTTTCCAGCCAAGATCCAACCAGGAATTTCGGCAGAACATTTGATGAGTGCGCCCCACCAAAAACCAACTTCTCGAGCCAGGACGGCCTCAAGAGGAAGGGGACGGATGATGGGATCGAGGCGCGCAATGAACGAGCCGGGACGGGGGGTTATGGGTTCGTCTTTTCGGCTATCCAGGTTGGCAAAACGGAGTTTGTGTGAAGCTCCCTTGAAGGGTGGTTTCAAGCAGAGGCCTTTTGGTTGTCGATGCAAAGTTGTGATTGGCGATGTTCAAAGAGGAAACATGGGGAGCCCTGTTGAAAATCAAGTTGGACGGTATCTTTCTATCTGATCTGTCGCGGCTGAATATCCAATGCTTCAGCAATGAGCAACCAAAACGCGGTTCAAAAAAACAGCACCCTTTCAAGGGGAGCCAAGTTGATATTCTACGGTCAAGACGTCTCTACCCTTCCTATGTCCCCCAGTAGTGCCCCTTTACCAACTTTTGTCGGGGACAATTCCCCTACTAAAATAGACTACCGAAAGAAATGAAGGGAAAAGAAGAAGAACAAACAGTTGGTACCAACTTATTCTAACCTCTCAAAACTCGAGGACCTAGCTTCTTTGTTGGTTCATTTCCCTCAGAAGGGCAGTGGTCGAAGGCTTCGAAGGCCTCAAGCATCGGGGGCTCGTCGGGCGCTTGGCACTGAGGTTGTAAACTACACAGGATCTGGGATCCCTGCACTTATTTCTTCATTTCACTGGAAGTGACTTGAGCTTGCATGAGTTAAAAGTTGAGGTACCTCAAAGGCGCCGGCGGGACAGCGCGGGTCGCTGGGACCCGCAAACGGCGGGACTGGCTTTTGGTCCATCCCTTGGTCCTGTGGCAAGGGCCCCAGGAATTCCTTCCTCCCCAAAAAAAGACCAGAAAGAAACGGGGCGAAGAGCGACTCAGGCCTGCGGGTAGGGACTTGACCTCAGAAAAATGGGACTTGACCCGACCTCAGATGCATCGATCCGGTGAGACGACTCGCGCGCGGAGCCGCGGAGGTGCCACTCTCCAAACGCCAGCGAAGGCGGCAAAAGATTTTGGAAGCGCGTGGAGAAATACCTCACCAGGACGGGCAACCCGTACGTACGCAAGCGTGTGTGGGATTATTTTGGTTGGTTGGTTGGTTGGTTGCTTGTTTGTTTGCTTGTTTGTTTGTTTGTTTGTTTGTTTGCTTGCTTGTTTGTTTGTTTGTTTGTTTGTTTGGTTGCTTGCTTGCTTGTTTGTTTGTTTGTTTGTTTGTTTGTTTGTTTGATTGTGTGCTTGCTTGTTTGCTTGCTTGCTTGTTCGCTTGTTTGCTGGTTTGCTTCTTGATTGTGTGTGTGCGTGTGTTTTTTTGTGTTGCTATATTTGGCTTTGCTTAAAGATTTTGTTTGGCTTGGCTTGGTTATGTTGGGTTGTTATTTGGTTGCTTGCTTGCTTGCTTGCTTGCTTGCTCGCTTGCTTGCTTGCTTGCTTGCTTGCTGGTTTGCGGTCTTGTTTGCTTGCTTGATTGCCTGCACGCCTGGTATGCTCACCAGGTTTTGTGCGGCTTTCACAGGTTTAAGAAACCAACAAATCTGGGGTATGGGTTGGTGGCCCGTCCAACTTTTGGGAGTTTCGATTGACCACGTGAGTTATTTGAGCATGTATTTGTTTGATACCCTGTTTCAGTGTGAGCCAAAAGGAAAACCAAAAGCGATTTTGTGGATCCAAATCCCTCTTTTAGAACACTCCCAAGCAGAGGCTCGTGCTGGGAGGCTTTGAACACGATACAGAAAAGGAATATGCAGTGTTTTTTTCATGTGGGTGTGTACTTGTTTGAGGATGCTTCTTTTTGTGTTGGTTTCAAGGCAAACAAAAGGGAGCCAATCTTTTTGAGGGTCCTACTAAGCTATGTAGATCTCGCGAAAGTCCGCAGCTTAAATTGGTCAGCATCACCAGTACTGTAAGAAAATGTCATTGACTCATACCCATGTGCGTGTGTCTTCTTCGAGGGTACCTTTTCGTTTGTGGTCTTAAAGGAACACCGAAAAGGAAAACCGAGATCCATGTTGGAGGGGTCCAACCTGAACAAAAACATATCCACATACCCATGGCCCATGTCATTCGCGGAACGAATCGCCCACGCGTGTTGAGGACGGGCACGGCCATGGTGACGTGCCGTCGCCTGATGTGCCGGTGGTCCAGGAAGACGTGTGATTCGTGCCCGTCCTTTCGGGCGCAGTCCGAGCCGGCAAAATGATCCTAGTAAGAAACCAGCGGAGCCAGGCAATTCTACAGGAAACAAGGCCACCACCCATCAAGAACCAGCATGTCCAGTGGAATTTCCTGTGGCTGGTTTCTTAGATTGCACCAGGCCAGGCCAAAAGCCATCAAAGATACACTGTCAGCGGCCAGTTCAGGCCAAGCATCCACTGTTTTGTTGGCTACCCCGTTTGGATCGGTTGCCTGCCATCTTCGGGAGACTGATAGATCGGCTAGATCGCTTTGGTCAATAAGTCGGCACGGCGACGTGATCCACCACTGCGGTTGCGACGGACTCAGCTGGCCCGGGCCAGATTCGCCAGCCCAGCCAACGGTGAATGCAAGATGCCAACAAAAGGCCGGCGAACGCGCGCAGGGTGAGAGCATCGGGTTTGAGGTTGCGAATTTCTGTCATACCACGGGAATCCCTTTCAAAGTGATAAAGTAATCATGGGCATTGGAGTGACTGTTGGTATCACAAGGAGTTTTCCAGGGGGGTCTGAGCGGGTTCCAATTGTCATCATGTGTACCACCGAACTGATCCTATTTGCATCTATTTGCCTGTTTTACCATTCGACAGGTCCAATGGCATTTGGAATGAGAATCATGACTGTCTACGCAACCATCATTGAATCGCATCACGAGAATGGACCCGGAAAGCAGAAGCACCACAGACCCAGCATGAGCCCACAGTCCTCCAGTTGGGGGTTCCCCCCACTGGCAAATGGCTGGGTTCCCAGGTTCCCAATTTTTCGTTTTGCCTAGGGGGCACCCTGGAACAAGAAGAACGGACATGCCTGGCATGCCCATTCAAAATTTGGCTGTGGGTCAACACCAAGGGGATCCCATTTGGGGTAGGTGAATTCACCACCCATTTTAGAACCTTTTTTAGTAGGGGATTGGGATGTTCACTGGGGGTACGGGATTTTGACCCATGGCCATTTGGCTCTGAGATCTGGTCCGACCGGGTGCTGGGGGTTGGTCAGGCTATGACTCTCTTGGAGAGCACGTAGAATAATTGTGGCCAAACCCAACCGCTTTTCTGCTATGCAATGTCGAAGCACAAATACACGGCTTGAATCGTGGGATGTGCTTGTCTCAGTTCCTCGGTTGCTTCTGTTTGCGCTCATTGTAGTTGGACCAAAGCAACTCGAAAAGCAGCTTCTTGTGGGAGGGAAAGTGTGCTCTAGAGGACTGTTGGCATTTTCTTCACGCATATCACAACCTGAATGGTTGTCGTCCTCTTGGCTTCAAGGCAGAGTCATGTGTACGCAATTGCCGGGAACTTTTGTCGACGTCACCAGCACAGCCAGCACATGTGAAGGCGCGAGCAAGAACTCACGCAGCATCCTTGAATGAAACGCTTGGATTCAAGTCCTGAAGATGCGGGACGCAGCCATGGAGCCGTAGTGCAGTGCAAGCATTGCCGCCTGCTGAGTCTGTTGATGCTACAGGGATTCCTCAATTGCATCTCCGCTTGGACGTCCCAAAAGCGGCAGAATCACTGGACCCCGGTAACTGGGTCTGTTTTGTTTTAGGGCGACCCCCAAAAAGACATAAATGGCTTTGGTGTCCTGCACCTCATTTCCAAGACATTGGCGCAACCAACGCAAATCGCTGACACGTTTCCCTTGGGGGTTCCCCAAAATATGGTGGGTCTCGACCACCCTCAAAATGGGGGTGGTCCACCCCATTTCTTCAGAAGGCGCCGATTTGTTTTCGGCGCTCGCTTCGTGCCTTTTCAGACCTCGACATCCCATCCCAAGGTCCGAGGACATGGCTGCCATGGAGGCCGTCTATGTGTTGTTTGAGTTGGGGTGGGGGTGGCTGGGGGAAGCCGCAAGGTTGAAGAACACCTTCTTCTTTTTGCTTTTTTGTTGGGGGGGGAGGGGAGGGAAGACCACTCTTTTCCTTTTGTTTTTTGTTTTTTGTTTTTTTTGTGGGAGGGGGGGGGGTCGCCATAATATTTTGACAGCAACCCATCGGCTGACTACTTACTGACATGAATCCCCTATTCATAGCTTGTGGTTTTCAAGTACCCCGGTTCTAGCATGTTCTATCTAATGTTGACCCAGGATGAATAAACCCGTCCAATTACTAGGGGGGTGTTTCCTCAGCCTCCAAAAGTGATGAATCCCACCATAACATTAGGCCATGTTCTATCCACCCGTTGCCATTTGCAGCTTTCCCTGAGCTTGATTTGGATCAACCAGAACTCCTGGTGGACGGGGGTGTTGCCGGTCTACATCCAACCAGTGCTGTAAGCTAAATACCTTTGACACATACCCATGTGGGTTTGTCCTTTTTTGGAGTCTTGGACCCGTTTGTTTGGGGGAGGGGGAAGGGACACCGAAAGGACAAACCGAGACTTTGGAAGGGTGCCACCTAAACAAAAAGGTACACCCAAAAGGGGGTGTCCCCGGTTGTGACCCCAGGATGTCTATGATACCAGGGTTCCCATTCTCTCCATTACCTTCCATTTCCATTCTTTCGGCTTCTTCTCCAAGGTACCCCCCCCTTTTGGCATGTTGGGGTTCTGTGCCAAAAAAGATGCGTTTGAGCGGGTGTGGATATATTGTTCTAGGGGTACCTTCCAATTCCATTCTTTCCAGGGATCCGAATCTTTTCCGGAAACCATCAAACACCCAGGGAAACAGATCCGGTTTTTGAACAGAACGATGGTTGAAAAGAATGGGGAATCAAGCCCTAGAACACCGCTTGTTTTTGGACATAGAGGTATATACCCCTCGTACACGACTTATGTACCGAGCCTTCTGCATGGCTCAAGTGCTGAGCTCCAAACCCGAAAGTGTCTCTGAGTGGCAAGGCATTGCGTACCCCCTGGGGTAGTTTGTTTCCTTTTCGTTTTGGTGGTTTTCCCGTGGGAAAAAAACACCCACATTACAAGAAGAAGCAGTTGAACTTCCGCCTTGAAGCTACCTAGGATGGCTTGTAAATCCTGGTTTTCCCTTGTGAATTCCTGTGGCGTACTATGGCTTGCAACCGGAAGATCATGTGTCGTTGTTCCTTCTTTCTTTCGCTGCAGATCTTACGGCCAGAAGGGCCAGCCTCCATGCTCGTGCCTCAGTTGCGTGTCAGCGAGTCAGTTTCCCGGATCAAGGAAACCACCGGGAAGGGATCTTGGTTGACGTTGGACGGGGAGCACACATTTAAATTTTAGCAGTTAAGTGGTTGGATTTCAACCACTAAACCACCATAAGCAAAAATGTTCTCAATGTTTCCCAACGACAAGCATGGGATGGTGTTTCTCAGGGTCATTCCGTTTCTCATTCCCCGACTTCGCCCCAGCAAGTCTTTGTGGTCCCCCCAAAAAATGGGAGGGCGTCGCTCTTGGTTCCCGAAGACACCCACCAAAAACAGATACCTCCCCCCGACGGGTTTGACGGGACCACTTCGAAGCCCGGCAGACATGAACTGACAGGGCCTTCCTATATACTATATAATGCCTACGTCGATAAATATAAACATAAATAAATACATACATACATATATATATATATATATGTGCATGAATGTATATATATATATATATATATCACGCCACCCAAAAAGGAGGCTCACTTTGGCCCTGGGGATGCGGACGCATCACCTTCTGAAGGTCCGCCTGGGTGGGTTCGGCATTGAATGCAAAAAGATTCCGGCCGCATCATTTACCACGATCGAAGTCACCCCCCCCCAGTAGGTTAAAGGACATCGCCAGCCAGTTTCCGACTTTGACCCCAGACATACTGTAGTGAAAACAATGAGCCCTGAGATAAGAAACACCTCGGACCTAGGGCCAAGGGCTCTATGCAGGGAAGTTGAATCTAAAATCTAGTCCTTTGAACCACCTCCCTGTGGTGTCCCTTACTTGGGCAACTAGAAACCACGTCAGGCAAGTAGATTACTTCACCATGGTAAGGGGAAGATCACCCCGGTTGCCCCAGTTAGAAACATGGCTATAACTAAGTGTAATTAAGTTGTAACCTACTTGATGCCTGACGTTGGTGGAGCATCCAAGTAGGGGACTATCAATCCAGGCAGTTGAAATTAACCCTACGGACCTACTGTGGATGGACGAAATCCTGCACCACTTTGAAACCATGGGAAACCACTGTTTGTTGGTATTTACAAGGGAATCATCGTTCCAGGTGTCTTAGGTGGTGCAGGATTTCGTTCATCCACAGTATCTCTCTGAACCGTGTTGACATCGGGAGACTTTGCCCGGTGAGGAGCCACCTCTACTTCCCGCCGCGGGGCATGCCCAGACCAACCTTGACGCAGGCAAGGTGAAGTGGCCCCCGAACGAGCAGGGCCCAACATCGATTCCCACAAGGGCCATTTTAAGGGCTACTACTGACTTCATTGGGGTTATAGAGCCGGTATAAACCTTCACATGTTAGTAGAACCACAGGTCAATGGGTTTTGGGCACTCCTCAAATGGAATGATACTCAGTGTGTCCACTCCTAAACGAAACCCTGACGGTTTTTGTCCAAAGGAACACTCATTTTGGGCAACGTGCAAAAGGTGATTTCCATTTGGTTGCAATCCTCGAACCCCCCGGGATCCGACATCTCTCCAGCGGGTCCAGCGAGGTGAGTGCAAACCCTGACCTACGAACCAAGGAACGGGATCGATCCGTATCAGCATAAGTTTCGGCAAAGATATTTTTGTAGTCCATAATTCGGAAGCGACATGGAGGTCATGACAATTTCCCATAGAAAGGCACGGGGCTCACATTTTTGTGTCCATGCCCGTTGATATGGTGACTATATAGGCGCTATGTATACATATATATATATATATATATAATTTCCATATATATCTAATATAACGGGGGTTTATATATATATATATATATACATACATACATCATCCATATATCTATATAGCTGGGGGGTGTTTCCCCAAAAAAAGCACAACGACTAGGTCGGAGGTTTCTGTTGGATGGCGATCAACGGGCAAAGCACCTGGGGTCCTCATGTTTGGACCGGTGGTTTACCCGAACATCGGTTGGATACCCAGAAAAGGGTAGTTTCAATGTGATTCAATGGGCTCCAAGCATTTAAAAATTGTCCCCTATTTTGGGATGTGTTTTTTATAAGCAAACCAGCATTTAAGAAAGGTCCCCCTATTTGGGGAGTTGGTTTTTGGAAGCAATCCCCAGGTAGATGCAGGCACCTGGTCCCTTGGGGCGGGCCCCGAGTTTTTATTTCTCCTAGGTTTGGGGGGGCCGGGTCGTGGCAGGGAGAAAAACGACGGGTTGAACCTAGCCCAAAAAAACAACTTCCTCCCTTGCTTGCTGGTGGGAATGAACTCAGGCTTCGGTCATAAGGGTCATTCCATTTCTCATTCCCTGAGCACCAGCAAGCTTGATCAACACCAAGAAACTCTGCCGCGGCCTGCCTTTCGGCTCGAACCAGCTTCAAATACAGGACGATGTGAGCTGAGCTTCAAGTAAAAGCGTTTAGCAGCCAAACCGAAACCAGATTTCCACAGAGGAGGTTTCTTTAAGGAGGTTTGCAGGTCTCCCGGTCGACGTTTTAGGTGGCCCTTTATCTGCCACATGGTGAGCGGAAAGCCGATTCGGGGGTAAAACAAGCGAAACGTCTCATGCGAAAGGCCCCATGAAAAAGAAACCTGATTTGGAATCCTGCAATGCTTTTACCCTGCAGATGAATGTTTCAAGGGAAGTTCAACCCCTGGCCCCAAGGAGAAGGAGAGCTCCTCAAAATGCGTAGTTTCATGGGCATGTGGGTCTCCGTCTAACGGACCCAAATGGTGCCCAGCTTGAGCTCGCGCGGCCATGGACATGCCAAGTGAATGGACCGGGCGCAGGTGGGGCAGAAATGGCGATCGAGTTCCGTTTCGGAGGTCCATAGGTGTCCTTTTTGGTTGTTTTGGCCGAAACATAGAGGGCGATTCCTGGTTTACCTGGTGGTTTAATCATCTACCAGGGCCATCTCTTTGCCCCAAAAGGACACCTATGTTTGGGACCATGCTAGTGCTAAACAGGAAGTTTGGACGTTTTCTGACGAATCCACTCCAGAAGTGAGGTGTCCCTTCCATGGGCAAAAAAGCCACAGCCAAAGGGTGCCCGGGTGGTTTCTCTTTGGTTTCCCTACATCACAGCACAAGCGTCGAAATACTTCGAACGGGATGGTGGGGTAATTACAGTAAAGCCGCATTTGTGTTGTCATGGTTCTACTAGGAAGTATCCCGCCACTTTACCGAGCTCATAATTAAAAAAAAATGGCGCCCCGCTCCCTTCGCCGAGGAGCGGCGGTGCTGCTTTGCCTGGGTGCTGCGCATCTGTCAAGGAGGGGACCCGAAACCTCGCATGCCTTTTTGTTTTGCTTCTTTTTGGAGAGGGGCTCCCTTAAGAAAACAAATGGGACGGTCGTTTTTTTGGGGAACCCGTTTTTGGTTGGTTTTGAAGGGAAGCCAAAAGCAAGCACAAATTTGAGGGGTCCCCTATTTTGAGAAGGGGTTTGTTTGAGAGGGGGTTTGGGGCTACCTGGAGTCTCCCCGACCCTTTGAAAACGTGGTCATTGCAAAAGAAGAAGGGTATGACCCTAGTTTTAAAGATCATTGAGACTCCAGGTGGGGTTTGGGGGTCCTTAAACAGAAACAACAATAATCCCAGCTGGCATCCCCAACCGGAACCCCTATCTCCGGATTCCCTGAAAGCTGCCCCGGAGCAAATTCCCCACAGCTTTCAGCTGCGGAAAAAAAAGGGTGCCCACCTTCATATTTGGCTGTGGGTCAAAACCAAGGGAATCCCATTTTGGGGTAGGTGAATTCACCACCCATTTTAGAACCTATTTTAGTGGGGATTGGGATGTTCACTGCGGGTACGGGATTCTGACCCATGGCCAGTTTTCCATGGCCACGATCTCTGGGGGGCATGTATTTTGCGGGAATCACTGTGGGGGGTTCGGAGTGAACCTGGGAATCCCCGTAAAGGAAACCGCCCTTGTGGTGTTTCATTTGCGGTCATGCCCTGATTCCCTGCTATGTCGCTCAGAATATCCAGTGGCCAATGGCTATTCATTAAGAAGGGACTTGGGGGGAGTGAGTGAATTTCCCGCAAAGATCACGGGCTCTACTCGGCTGATCACTTTGCCAAGTTAGTAAGCGGTTAGTCACCTGGGTTACATCCTTGGGTCGGTTGTAAGTAGCGTATAATCTAGGTTACGATTCGCTTATTGGCGAATCGAACATCCAAGTAGGGCAACAGCGAAAGTTTCACCTGGAGGAATTTCTCAAGCAACTGCCCTATGAAGAGGCCTTGCTTTGCCATGCCTTACTTCCGCTTTGCGAATTATCGTAAGGAGGGGTATTGTTTCTTTTTTAGTTATTTATTTATTTTCTTTCTCAAAAAAAAAAGAGGGAACCAGTTTTTGGCTTCTTGGCTTCTTGGCTTCTTGGCGTTTTGGCGTTTTGGCTTTTTGGCTCTTGGCTTTTTGACCTTTTGGCTTCTCAGCTTCTTGCTTTTTCGGCAACTTGGCTTTTGTGGCTTTTTCGTGGGTTTATGTGTGTATGCAACTTTTGGGGGCTTTTTGGCTTCGGCTTCTTGCATCCTTTGCGTTCCCAGTTCCTCTCCGGCCTGTGGCTTTTTTGCTTTTGTGCGGCTTTTCGTGGATTCATGTGGCTTTTGGCTGCTTTGCAAACTTGGCGCAGAATTAATGCACTCTTTATTGAATGTTCGCTTCTTCGAGTCTCTTGGGGGGCCTGCCGTCCCCCCCAACCCCCCGCTGCTTTTCAATATGTTTACCTTTAGTTCAATCATGACTTGTTCAAACCTCATGGGTGGTCTGCCGTTTAAAGAGATAAATGCACCCGTGGCTGAATCTGCAATCCATGTATGGTTGCATGTCTGTATGTACTTGGTCGAACAGCATGGGGGAACCCCCCCTCAAAGCCCCCCGCCGCTTTTTAGAATACATACTGCAGACACACACACAAACATACACGCACACAACCCACACACCCACACATACATACATACATGCATACATGCATACCAACCTACCTACCTACCTACCTACATACATACATACATACACCCATACATATATACATGCATGCATGCGTGCGTGCATGCATGCATGCATGCATACATACATACATACATACATACATACATACATACATACATACATACATACATACATACATACATACATACATACATACATACATACATACATACATACATACATACATACATACATACATACATACATACATACATACATACATACATACATACATACATACATACATACATACATACATACATACATACATACATACATACATACATACATACATACATACATACATACATACATACATACATACATACATACATACATACATACATACATACATACATACATACATACATACATACATACATACATACATACATACATACATACATACATACATACATACATACATACATACATACATACATACATACATACATACATACATACATACATACATACATACATACATACATACATACATACATACATACATACATACATACATACATACATACATACATACATACATACATACATACATACATACATACATACATACATACATACATACATACATACATACATACATACATACATACATACATACATACATACATACATACATACATACATACATACATACATACATACATACATACACATACACATACATACATACACACATACATACACACACACACACATACATACATACATACATACCTACCTACCTACATACATACAGACATACATACATACTTTAGAGCCTCGGGCTCAGTCCGCCGACATTGACTGACTTGGTCGGACCGGGTAGTCCGGACTCTCTGCGCGCGCATAGCGGTTGCGCCTTCCGCGGCGGCTGTGTGAGGATACGGGGTGACAAGCAAGTGGACAGGAAGAGCGTGTGGCGGAAAAAGTCCGGGGCGTGAAACTCTGGAGGTACGTGGGTTCTAGACTTGTTTGCCATGCAGGTGTAAAGGCATCTAGCTGGGCAAGAGTTTGTTACCGGACGGAGCGCGGGGCTAGGACTGTTGGGCTCTGCGAGCAGGAGACTTAGTGGTGTGTTTTGGGGGGTGGTAAATGTAGGCAGGAGACGCGGCACGTAGGATTTTATGGCCTTGGATTTGCACTGGGGGGAGGACTTAGGCTGGGATGATGACAGGCCCTGTAGGGAAGACACAGAAGCCAGACCCACAGAAAGTGGTGATTCCTTCCCAATGGGG